TCGTGGACATCGGGGAAGTAGTCGTCGGCGACCGGATCGTCCGTGATGAAGCAGCCAGTAGTCGCACTGAGCGCTCCCCAAAAACCTTATCACCCTTCTCCCGTACAGGACTCAAAAGGTGCAGTTTCGGAGGCCTACTGTCCCGACCTGCGGTGCACGCCGCAAGCCGAGATGGGGAAGATCGTAGCAGCAGCGCAGTGCTCAGGAACTTTGTGGCGAGAGGAAGGGGATCTTCTGGTGTATCTCTCTAGAGAGGAGCAACCTCTCTTATATAGGCACAGGAGAAGGGCGCGAAGAGGCTGCGGCAGGAGGTGAAGCAACAAAGGGAGACGAAGCGAACAAGCAGCGGCCGAAGAGGCGCGCCGTTCGAATTCAGTGTCCACTACAGAAAAACGTTTCAACTCCCACATGACCTTTCGTATACCCGTCGTGCGTGGCAAAAATTTAGACATCGGCTCGGCTCATTTCTGCAACCCGCGGCGCGCGCGTTGTGACGAGGCGTGGCGTGGCGTGGTGAGGCAGGCGGCGGAGGAGGAGAGCGCGTGGATGTCCCTCTTGTTCTCATGCTCATACATGTGGGGAAAGAACCTCCCTTATAAAGAGGTCCAACTCCCTCTAAACTAGCAATGTGGGACTAAACTTTTGTTCCACCTCTTGCCTTGCACAAATGGGCTGCGTGGGCCTCTAGGATTTATTAGGAATTTCTGAAACTGCTATTGGGCTAGGCCCAAAATAGACAAAATTCCAGCAGCTAATGTAGAAATTGTCAGCATGTAATTCCCCAATTCCTTCGTCCAAGACCCATTCAACATCAACCGAATTCAGGAACACATATTATATACATTCTGAACGAACACCACAAAAATCAAAGAAATTACAAACCACACAGTAATCGAGAACCCACCATATCATGGAAGCTCACCGGTGGTAGACTGCTTTGTATCCTCACTGCAACACCTCGTGCGTTATACGGAAGGAGGTGGACCTGCGGCAGGATGTGGGTGAGAAGCCAGAAGACCGAGGAGGTGAGATGACGAGCAGGAGAGTCATCAGCGGCACAACGCAGTGCGGGTGCCGGGAGCAGCAAGCAACAAAGGCAAGCAGCAGCGGCAAGCAAAGCAACCACCAGCAGCAAGCGGCAAAGCAAGCAACCATCAGCGGCAACAACAGCAAGCAGCAAAGCAAGCCAGCAACGAACAACAGCAACAAAGCAGACAGAAGCGGGCAGATGCGAGTCCTCACCTTGCTCTTCGTTGCGGCCGAGTCGGACAGATCAGGGAGGTGAGAGGATGGACAACAGTGAGTTCCGAACGGCGTCAATGGCGGTCAGCGATCGAGGAAGCTGTAGGAGGGACCCGTGGCTTCGAGTCTGTGGTCCAGATGTGGACCCCTTCATGGTCCATGTAGCTGCTCGGGGAGGACGATGACCACGACGGGGTCGCAACGGCGGCCGACGGAACCAAGAAAGGTGGCCTTGGTTCAAGAGGTTCATGCATGCCGGCGCCCGGAATCACCATTGAAGGGACGGCAGGAGCAACAATGGAGCTAGGGAAATACACAGGAGCATGAACGCACCGGAGAAACGAGGTGATTCACGGCGGCGTCTAGCGGGCATGCATGTCGGAGCCGGAGGCGTGGACGTCGATCCGGACCGACGGCTGGCGGATCTTGCCGGCCCCTGCAGCTGTCGTTGCAATGGCGAGCGGCAGCATCCCCGACGAGCTTGACGGGAAAGGGGATCTAAGAAGGGAGAAAAGGAGTGAGGAGTGAGACAATGGAGTGGAGGAGGAGAAAGATGAAGGGACAACCGGGCAGGAGGCGACGCGTGTCCCTTGGAGATGACGCTGCTGGACTGACCTAGGAGACCCACTGGTCAGTGGCAAAGGAGGGGTTGAAAGAAAATAAAAATAAACAAAATTAGCTGGAATATCTCTTTCTCCTCTACTCCTTCATAGGCTTCTTAGGATTAGCGTAATCTAATTATCTCGGTGCTAAAAAATACAATATATATTGGAAAATTTCACAGATGTTACTACTTACTCCCTCTGTAAAGTAATATAAGATCTTTTAGATCACTAAAATAGTGTTCTAAAAGATCTTATATTTGTTTACAGAGGGAGCATATAATATAAATCTAAAAGATTTCGGAGAGTATTTGACCGCCCTTTTTCAAATCCAAATTCAAATCTGCCCCAACTTTGGATTTGAACTATAAATAGGTGATATAAGATTCCAATGCTCATGGAATGTTTATGGATCTTGTAAATAACATATGACCTCCATTTATAAATTTTCATGAACTTTGGACAAGGGAATCATCACCAAACAAATATATTGCAGTCCTGGCATTTTCTTGAATTAGAACAAAAGCACTTGATTCAAATATCATAACAAATATATTGTAGTTTAATTCTATGCATGGATGGCTCAATCTCACTGTTGTCCAAAGATCACTTATTGGTGTTGCGTTCATATATTCAATAATGGCTTCAGTTTCAGTTAAAATCGTCAACTGGACTTCAATGATTGTGGTGGCGTATTATTCGGCAAAAAGTAGTATTGTCGCCATTTAATGTTTTCATTCACATTGATGGTCATATATGCTGCTTGGCCAAAACAACTGATCAACTCTGACCGTAGCTGGTAGGGGGCACCAAACGGCGACTGCTCGCCCCGCCTCGGCGCCTCCCCCTCCCAGCCCCATGGGGAACCCTCCGTTACGGTGCGCCACAGGAGGAAGGGATAGGCCCATCTCGACAGAGGAGGTAGGCACGACGTGGATGGCGGCGCAGGGCGCATTGACAAGGGACACTTGAGAATGGGGAACGATAAGCAAGATGAGTTCGTGCATCCTTATTTTATTAGAAGTTAACGTCAAGTGCTTTATTTGGGCCAAGCCTAGATAGTTAAAAAAGAATAAACTCTTCCGAATTAAACAACCATCTGTAAAAAATGCCTAACAAAAAAGCTATAAAAATATGTGTAAAAAAATTTAACACAATAAAAAAACTTCAAAATGTTCACGGTTTTACATATGTTCACACTATCTTTGTTAGGAAATATGTTCGCATTTGTTCACAAAACTTAAAAATTCCCCAAAAAAGTTCCATTTTTTTACCAAAACAAAGTCCATCTAGAAATGTACAACCAAAAACAAAAAAATCTTTTCAACAAAAACACCTATTCAAAAAATGTTCTTTTTCCGTAAGAAAATGTTCTTTTCTAGAGAAATGTTCCAATTCTCATAAAAATGTTAACTACTCTTATAAAGTGTTCCAATTTTTATGAAAATGTTAAATTTTATTTAAAATAAGGAATTTTGACGTTTAACCTTATTATGGATGTTTATTAAATTTGGATATAAAAACTGATGCACAATGGCACATGAAGCTGGTTATGCCTTTTTTGCCCGGTGCAACGCACGGGCATTTGTACTAGTATACCCTAAACTAAATTGCCCTAAACAAATTTGCTAAATTTCCCTAAACTAAATTGACCTAAATTGCCCTAAACTAATTTGCTACAGTTTTTTTCTAAATGCTCTCTCTCTCTCTCTGCTACTGCCCTAAATTGCTACAAAAATTGCTACTGTTTTTATTTATAGCTACAAAATTGCCATTGTTTTTTATTTGTACCTACAAAAATTGCCTAGCTATTTATAGCTATTATATATACCTACAAAAATTGCTAAATGCTCTCTCTCTCTCTCTCTCTCTCTACTACTACTACTACTACTACAACTACTACCCTAACCAACATATTTGCTAATTTAGCAAAAATTGCTAAATTTGGTACTGCCCTAAAATGCACATGATGATTTTGATAATTTTGCTAAATTTGGTACTGCCCTATAACAAGGAAGAGAGCTAAAATATGTTGATCTACATTAAGAGGGGAGCCAAAAAAAAATACTAGAATGATGATAAACTAACATTTTTTAGTTGAATCTCTTTCTTAATGTAGATCAACAGTTGCATCTGTCCTAATTTTGCTAAGAGTAGCTAGGGTTCATGCATCACACAGAGAGAGGGAGAGAGAGAGAGAGAGAGGAGGGCAGGGGAGAGGAGAGGGAGATGCTTACGAGCTCGGGCTCGGGCGGCCAGGGGAGAGGGCGGCAGCGGCGAGGTCGAGGGCGGGCAGGGGAGAGGTCGGCGGTGGCGGTGAGGTCGAGGGCGGGTAGGGGCTCGGGCCGGCGTCAAGGTCGAGGGCGGGCAGGGGCTCAGGTCGGTGTCGAGGCCGAGGGCAGCAGGGGCTCGGGTCGGCGTCGAGGTCGAGGTCGAGGGGCGGGCAGGGGCGACAGCGGCGCCCGACAGCAGAGAATGGGGGGAGAGGTGGGAGAGTGGGGGAAAATGGGACTTGGCAAATTTTGAGCCCACGCCGCGGGTTAACTAAAAATAGCAGTAGCGCTGGGTGGTAATCCAGCGCTACTGCTAACTGTTCCAATTTTTAGGGTTTTAAATTCTAAAATACACATAACAGTAGTGCTAGATTAGGATCCAGCGCTATAGCTAAGTGCTAACTTAGCTATAACGCTGGTTCATAATCCAGCGCTAATGATATGTTTCTTTTCTTTTTATTATTTTCCTTTTCTAGTTTTTAGTTTTCTTTTCTTTTTATTATTTTCCTTGAATTTTCTTTTTTTTCTTTTGCATTGATTTCTCCTTTTTGTTTTTGTTTTTTTTCTCCCGACGGCCTCGCACACAGTTGACGAGAATGTCTCCCTCCCACACTGCACAAATATCACCGAAACCATGCATGTACCGGTAATTGAAGGGGATACGATGTATACATCATTTAACCGATAACAATTACTTAAGTGCCTACATAAAATAGATACATTGAACATATAAATCACTCTATGCAACCCGCCCTTCTAGCGCCATCACCGGTACGCTCGATCCGCCTGTCTGGCCGTTGTCAGCGTACTTTTCATCCTCGTGGTAAACATCCATGCACTCGTTCTTCTGTACACTGCATGACTAGGCTAGAGCTGATGACAAATGGGCCAGCGTTATGCGTGGGTCCATGTGGCAGTCACGCCGTGTGTGCGTGTCTGTGTCCGGGTGGAAAAGCCAGACCAGGCCGATTGTGGGCGATGTGGGGCTGTCAGGCGGGTCGGTGGATTGGCACTGGTCTACTCGCACCCTGCTTCTGTCTACCCAGTTGGGTCTCTTCCTCTTCAAGACCGTTGGTCCCACCCGTCTGTCTATTGGGTAAGTGCTGTGCGAGGTGAGGTGAGGCGCACTGAGCTCCTCTGTTTTAGCCGCTGGATAAAGGCTTGCCTCGCTCGGTCAGAGTTGGTACTTGGACGCGCGTGGCCCTGTTCCGCTGCAAATGGCCCCTATCCACGCTGGTCCATACATGTCAGTGGGGTGGCTGTATCCTGTTGGGTTTGCTTAGGAGTTACAGCGCCTGCAACCACTGTTGCTGGCAGGGACGCGCGTGCCTCTCTCTCCTTCCCCATCAAGACTCGCTTCGCCCAATCCCCGCCTCTTCGTCCGTCTCCACAGGCCATCGTCAGCCGCCGCCGTCGCCCGTCATTGTCTTCATCACTGCCTGCTTGTCATTGTCGGTTAGGGGGTAAGGATTTGCCTCCCCTTCCAACAAATCGATTTCGTTCTTCCAGTGCCAGCATTATGCGCTGATTTGTTACCGCCAAGGTCCAGGTTCCCACGCTCACGGTGAAGAGGCTATGGCAAAGGGCATGCAGAGGAGCAGCAGGGCTCACTGAGGGGGAGAGGGCGTTACAAAGGGGAGCCGTGAAGGAGGAGGGGCCGCGGCAGCAGCAGCTCGCGATGGCGGAGAAGATTCCGTGGCGGTGAAGCGGAGCTTGCATATGTGCGGACCGCACTCCGCAGGAGAGCGTGCGCCGCCGGCAAGGCTGCGCCCACGTCGCTGAAGTAGCAGGGGAAGCCGAAGGAGGGGGCGCGGCATCCCATGGCCGCGGTAGCCGGCGGGGCGACCCACGTCGCTGAAGTAGCAGGGGAAGCCGAACGAGGGCGCACGGCATCCTGTGGCCACGATAGCCGGCGGGGCGACGCGGCATCGCTGACTCTACATCCACCGCCGTCCCTTTGAGTCTCGCGTGGTGGCCTGCAGGGTGACAGGAGGAGGGGCACGGGTTGCTGCTCATGGCACTGCTGCGCCCAGGCTCTTCCTCCTCGACAAGTCTAGGTGAGAGCCACCAGCCCCCGCACTTCTCCACCCCCGTTGCTTTTCCTGTTACGACCCTGCGCCGCTGTTGTGCTCCTTCTCTACCTCCACCATAGCTCTCGACAGGAGCACGCTACCGGCTGCAGCAGCCCTCCCCACTCTCTCTCGATTTGATCCCCATAATTCTCATATTTATTTGTGTGGAATCTGCTTTATCTACGCCTGCTATGTGTTCGACAAAAATCCAAGCAAGCTGAGGGGAAGATTTTGTGCTTTGTTTTGTACTCAGTTATTTCATATTTCCCTGAAATTTATCTCCAATGAACTGAAATTGTTTGGCATCCATTTTTTTTCCTGCAGGTCATTCCTCATCTCATCTGACCGCACTCATGCCACATAACCTGGTGAGCTTACTCTTTAGTCAGTTCTATGTACCAGTTCTGTAGCTTTATTCACTGAACTGAGAGATGGTGTTTGCGCTCAGTTAGATGATGCTTGCTCGATTTTGAGCATGCTGGTTGCAGTAATCAATCTATTTGATATGGGGCCTATAAGCTATCCTTGGTTGATGTTTGGTTACAAATCCTGGAGCTATTTTTGATGTATTGAGAGACATTTGTTAGAAAAAATATTACCCATTATCACCTTATTTGGCTATAATTCATCTTTGCCATTAGTTCTGTTAGTAAAATGGACTGAGAATGTTTGTGTATTTTTTATGCCTTGGCATCTTGCAGCTACAGCCGCGCGCTGTGTGTGGCGAGGGATTACTTCTCCTGTGCAGTAATACCCTTTTTGGAGTGTCCCATGTTTGCAACTATCCTTATCTGCAGAGAAAAACAAAGGGACAAACAAAGTAAGCTGAAATGTCTTATCCACTTGGCTATGGTTTTTTGTACTGATGTGATTTGGCTTGACTGAATTAACTATTTTCTGTATGCCCACTTTTGTGTCTCATGTGCTGTTTAGATGTTGAGGGCCGTTCTTTCATATGTAGGTCCGGATGCAAGGTGCAAGGCAGGAAAGGCGGTAGTAGGTCGAGAGAAGTGTAGAAGAGGGTTCCTCCAGGCTCCGTCCATGTACGGTGTCGGTCCGATGCCTCGGGTATATTTCTGCTCTTCCTTCATTTCTTCATCTTCAGTTGATGAATCATCCCTCTGCTGTCTTATTGAAGGCATGTGGCAATGTCGGGGACCAGCGAGGAAGATGCTGGTGTACATCCTTTGGAATAAAGTTGAAGTAAGCTCTAAGCACCACGGAGCCTACCACGCACGCCATCTTGTTTATAGTGCAGATAATCTATAAACTACTGTTTAGGAAAGGATTTATAGTGTAAGTAAACTATACAGCCAAATGATTGTTCCAGAAATTCAAATTTGCATTTGCACATGTAGAAGAGCATCATAGATTTTTGGACTTGGTGTTACAAAAAATGGTTTGATTTGTGTACTATAAAGGTAATGGAACACCAAATTTCACCTATATGGGTTTAATGATAGATAATTGTTAGAGTAGTTTTGCCATGTTTGACATTTCCTAAAAGGGAATATCATATCAGGTAAACCTTGAAAACAAGAGAAATGGTGGTATTTTCTACTGTAGGTCTCAATTTACTGAAAAATGCAGTCTTCATTTCTGAGTTATATGTTTGTTGTTCTTGCTTTCTTCCAGGTCTCTGATATAACGGTTCAGAATAAATATCCAATGAAGATGATGCGTGACGAACAGCATGGTGATGATCCATAAAGCCCTACATTGTTCTTTTGCTCGCTGGTGAATTTACTACTTTCTGATTGCATGCCAAGTAGCCGAGCAGACACTTTCTTCGTAGATTAGTTGTTTAGTTTCATATACTCAATGCTTTGTCGAGTGTGGTGTCATTGCAACAGCAGAGCTCAAACATCCTTCAAAGTATGTCTCAGGTTTAAGAATGCTAAGCCCAGCAGTCTATAATGCATATATAAAAGATGGAAACTACACAATCATATCCTTAGAGTGCATAAATATCATCTATGCTGTTGGGAATTATAATGAAATATTGATAACTGAATGAATACTCTTGTTAACTCACCGGGTGATGGAATTAAATTGAAGAGACATATTCTGAAAATCAAAATTATTTCTGAGTTTGTATTCTACTCGTACACATCTTCATATCCACCAGCACATTCAAATTCTATATATGCATGGAGTAGCAATACGATTGGTCAAAATAAAAAGACAGGATGCTGCTTTGCAGAAAGTGGTCGTCAAGTAATTATTCTGCTGTTGGAAATCGCCCACGATCGATCACAATTCACATCAAGTCGACGAACATGACACACAAAAACTTTTGGCCAGAGGCACGTGCCATGTCTTGTTCTTCTCTTTATTTCTTTTCTATTTTCTCCACACGATTACAAAACTCATGCAGCTTCATGTGTGTGTGTGTGTGTGTCTATACACACACGCGCGCGCGTGAAGCCAATAACTGAACCGAGTAGTGGAATATTGTTGGTGCAAATAAATGTTCTTTGAGTTTAGATGATGCATGGATAAATAACTGAACCGAGTAGTGGAATATTGTTGGTGCAAATAAATGTTCTTTGAGTTTAGATGATGCATGGATAAATAACTCTATGTGATGATTTATTTGCCGGCACTGATTACATTCCCCATGCGTTGTTGACGTTCCCACCCTTTGCCCTGCTAATTCACGAATTAGGTTTCAGACCCGATAGCTTGTTATGCTGTGTTGCAATTAAACAGAAGTATGGATCTAGGAAATTCATGACTAGCTATTGGTCTTCCTTTCAGCAGTAGAGAGATGCCTGGTCAGCAGATATATGTGTCTGAAACCTTTGCATGGTGTACATGCTATACTATGTAATAAATAAAAGGTAGTTAAATTTTTTATTATGCTGCTAAGATACCCAATCAGACTGATTATACATACACCCAAAACAATTTATTATAGTCTGAACTATGAAACTATACTCAAGAGGAAAGGTTATACATCAATCCTTTCTGCAGATTTCTTATCAGCTCATTCTGTCCTGTATGATTATTTTATGCCAAGCAAATTGCTAGATATATTCATACTCTCCGTTTAACCATAACATCAAGAACACCCAAAAATTAGCAATCCTAACAGGTCTGCTGCTTGCGGGCAGAAAGTAACTATCAAGGAAGAAGAGTTAGATGCTAGCGACATACCTGTCGAAGATATTGGCGGTAAGCATGTGTCGTACAGGTTATTTAAGCTTTCCCTTAAGCCATTCTTAGCCAACCCCGTGCAGTCCATGCGCTATGCATAAGAACCACAGATCGCTCAAGCAGCGTCGAAGCCTGCCTGTGACTGTTCCAAATGCATGCTTATCAATCCAGGTCCGACTTCTGTTCCACCAGTCTACTTCAAAATGTTAGACATCCAACAGTTACAGACAGTGGCGGAGCTAGACAAAAATGTTTGGGGGGGCCAAAAGACAAAAAAATCTGTAGTGAGCAAGTCTACTTAGAGTTCTCGCAAAGAAAATACTGCTACTGAGAGAACAATTTATAATGTGTATCCTCCAATTCAATCAACCACTAACCAAGTGAGAGAGAAAATTGTAGTGCTATCACACACACAAAAAAACCACTTTATAATGTCGTCGTCACCGGACGCTCGTATACGACGAACAAAGCTGGCTAGCTGCTTGATGTATTCCGCCGCCGGACGCTCGTATACCACGCAACCAAGACACGCGCACTCGACACAGAAGACTCGATGGGTTATAGCAGCAGGAGCTGGTCGTTCCTGAGATTTTTTTATTGCTTTGATCTGGGTTATTAATTACAAGGGGTAGATTACATTGTATATTTATAATAGTCCAAGCCTAGCTACACCTAACCTGATTGGTGATTGATTCCAAACCGTGCCGGACTGGAATAACACATCGTGGTTAACTCTAACAAGTCTAAGCCGCCGAACTGTCTGCAGGGGCCAGTAGTACGTATAGTAGTTAGAAAATTGTTTGGGCTGGGGGGGCCACGGCCCCCTCAGCTCACAACGTAGCTCCGCTGTTGGTTACAGATGTTCACGCTGCTTACTTCCTACCTTACTGCTTCATTGTTTTATTACAAAAGCCAGCTCTGAGGCAAAAACTTGAACACAGAGCTTCACACAGCAATGTTTGCCTCAGCAACAACGCCACAGGTAAATACATAGCCGGAAAAGAAAAGTTGTTTGCAATTGTTCATATACCTTAGTTTCCTATTCCTGACTCTCTTTGTTCAGAACCGGACCATCGATGGAAAAGGGTCCATTTAGCTGATGGGGAATACATTGTCCATGGGAAAAACCTGGCTTCCTTTATGTAACTTGTGTCGCTTTGGAAACATAATAAACACTATGAATTTCGTGGTGAGAACTACATAGATGAAAGATGAGCTGAGTGACCATTGTATATGGGGAAACAGTGTGACCCTATACACACGCCATGTATAAGATCAATGTAAATGAGCTGCATGACCTGCCTTCGTACCTTTCTTTGTACATCGTTAGTCCTTTTGGGCTATCATGCTACCATGACTCAAGTATAAACCATTATGTATAAAGATACTATCTAAGTATCCATTTACATGGTGTTTAAGTCCACTACAGATCCAATGTAGGTTTGATATTATCTTGCCTGGCCTCATGCAAATCTTTCTTGCATAACAGGATATACCTATTCAGTGATTTCGCTCCTCTTTATTGAACTTTTATTGTTTCTTGCTCAACTATATAGGTTATGATAAATATCGTCGCGTGGCTTATGGAAGGAGCTGCTGACAGGACTATCTTAACAACAAACTTGACGGAGTTCTTCACATAGCAAACATAGATGAAGGAACGATGTATGCCTTCACCTTTAGGCGCAAGGCAAAGCGCCTCCGCCTCTAACCATTCACTCCATATGAGGACACCATCATAAACCTTCAGTGTCACCTATATACAGCTTGTGTACAGGACTTCATGTTTATAATGCTCCTATGCTATCTCCACATTGGTTTGTCTTTCCTTATGGATTACCTCTTAGTATAGATATTATAGATCGTTCATTTGAACTACTATAAGTATCAGCGAAGATAGATAAGCCTATATTTCTCTCTTCCTTAAGGTGCCCTGCAATAGTCACATAATGCACGGTTCTAACTGGCTTTTTGCGCCATGGGCGCAACGGGTCATCTAGTATATATAAATGATGGTTTCTCAGCTCCGTCGAGGACGTTCACATTGAGCTTTTTCCCTTTCTTGTTTGTTGTCGAATAATTGAGCCCCTCGTTGTGATTTTTCCGGAACTATGGAGTACGATCTTTCTTAGGTAATGTAGTCTTGGTTCTTATTTTCACGTATGCTTCATCGTCATAGTCATCTTCCCTCATTGGGTTGCTGTATTGGTCGTAGTCTTCCTCGTTGGCGACTCTATCCATTCCGATGATGCTCCTTTTGCCTCTTCTCGCGACAACACGGTTGGGATTGGTCGGGTCGGTTATGAAGAAGCATTGTGTCACGTGCTTAGCGTGAACCCATGGCTCAGTTTCGGTGATGATGTTAACGTTCATGGTAGTGCTCTTCGCGTCAGGTATAGACATGGTAGTGAAATACTTGTTTTCTCTTACGACGTCCTTACCCCATATGACACAGAACATCGTTCATGGTAGTGCTCTTCGTGTCAGGTATAGACATGGTAGTGAAATACTTGTTTTCTCTTACGACGTCCTTACCCCATATGACACAGAACATCGTCGCATCGTGCATTCCAGCGTAGTCAAGCTCCCAGATCTCTTCGACCCTTCCGTGGAATCTTTCAGTTGTGCCGTTGGCGTCGGTCACGCATTCAATCATCACCCTTGAGTTCTAGTAATCAATGTCCATGTCTTTGGCCTCCATGTAGAACGTGTACCCGTATGCGTGATAGGTCGCGAGTTTGGGCGCGGGGCCATGTGCTAAGGCGTGTATGAGCAATCCGTCTGAACTGCCCTCTTCCGAGGTATTAGCAAGAACTTGCTCTTTGAACCAACGCAAGAAAGTGGCATTGTGCTCTATAGTAACTTCGTCGTCTGTTTTGCGCATCCCCTTATCGCGGCATTTCTTTACGATGGTTCCTTTGTGCAGTGTCACATAAGCATCTACCACATCTAGGGATGGACGATATTATCAACAGAGCTTGTAAAATAGACTATGCGGGTGAGGCAATCTTGGAATATTTACTTTCATTACCAGATCAGGAACTATGTATTATGGGCACTCGTAATGTGCGTGACATGATTGTCATATCAGCCTGGTACTTGTGGTGGGAAAGGCGCAAATTGGTACACAATGAGACTACTCAGAATGCACAACAGATATCCATGGGGATACGCGCTCTCGCTGTCAATTTTGTTAATGCCTCCTCGCCCAAGGCTTCCATGAAAAGAGGAGGATGGTCTAACCCCCCAACGGGATTTGTTAAACTTAACGTTGATGCTTCTTTTGACCACGACCTTCTCAGGGGTACGATCGGGGCTGTCTTAAGAGATGACAAAGGTAGGTTCATCAGTGAGGGAAATGGTAAGATTGACCGGTGTGCAGATGTGTTGATGGCTGAAGCTTTGGCGTTAAAATTTGGCCTATCGCTTGCGCAAAGGACGGGTTGTAATCGCATAATTATTAACTCGGATAATATGAAGGTGATCGAGACCATGAACGAAGGAGGACGATCGTCGGGGGCAGCTGCTGCAATTTTTGATGACTGTTTTCA